GTAAGCCAATTAATAGCATGGTGGCAAAAATTCACCTGAAAAGTGAGGCTTCACCTAAATTCTTCAAAGAAAGAACAGTTCTGTTCCATTACAAGCAACTGGTCCTGGAAAGGTGGAGCCTTGGAAAGGCATGTAGCAGAAGGCATTTTAGAGCCAATTACACATAGTGAGTGGGCAGCCTCAGCTGTACCAGTGTTGAAGGCAGACCGTATATCCATGAGAGACTGTGCAGATTTTAAAGAATTAAATAACCGAATCCATGGTGAAAATACCCATTATGCAAGATTGAGAGTCGTCGTCAGTGGTTTGCAAGGCGCATTTTTATCAAAGACTGACCTGAAAGGTGCCTACTTGCAGATTCCTGTAGATGAGTAGCCAGAAATTTTTAGTGATTAATACTCATAAGGGGTTAAGTACAAAAGACTTCCTTTTGGACTCTACTCGTCTCCAGCAATTTTTCAGAAATTCATGTTCCAGTTGTTACTAAACATTCAGGCTGTAGCTAGTTTTTTAGATGACATTATTGTATTCTGCAAGAGCACAATGTGAAGATTATTAAGGGTAAAACAGCATTAAGATCAATGCTATTGGATACCTGGGGTATCATATTTTAGGTAAGGGATTTACCTAAATGTTTACCTAAGGGCTTTACCTTAATGAGACCCAAGAGCCTCACAAAAATGTAACCACTGTTGTGGATGCCCCAGCCCCAACATCAGTGGGGAGAGTACAGTTTTCTGTAGGGATGGTAATATCCCTACAGTTTATGAAGTTTATGAAGAACTGTTCTACAAAATTAGCACCCTTGTATGAATTATTGAAAAAACCAGCGTTGAATGTATTGAAACTGCTTTTTCTAGGCGAAGCTCTGTAGGCTTTCTGAAGCTATCCAAACTTATTTTATCTAAAAATATCCCTACAGCTAAACCGGCCTTAATACGGGCAGGATACATGAGGGCCGTAGGCTTGGGAGGTGGACGAGCATAAAAGGTAAGAATGCAGGCACAAAAATCGGTGCTCAGAATAAAAAGAAAGAAAACAAACCAACGACCAAAGTCTGTGAACACAAGACCGAGGTAACAATATACAGAAGTACCACAGTGCCGTACACAAGACAAGACAGCCTGGTAACACAAGACCAGGAGACCAACGTCCATAAGTACCCAGGGAAACAGACAGAGTCGAACACATTGAACATAAATAATGAAGACAATGTCAAGTGTCATTTTTAGCTTGTCCTTGTATAGACCCATGGAAATTTCGCACAACAGGTGTGGTTTCCATAAGAAAGAATGGATATACTGTAAATCCAACCAACACAGACCCAGATGGGTAACAAAGTTAATCCCAAAAATTCTAAAACTTCCTGAAGAACTGAAAGAATAAAGTTATATGGACATTTGCAGAAAAGACAGGATAGGAAAAGATGGATGAATCACTATGAGTAGTACACCCAGAATGGGACACCAGAGATAATCTAGTACCCAAAGGAACCACAGCGACATAAAAAAACCAGCGTTGAATGTAATGAAACGCCATTTTCTGGGTGAGTCCCGGAGGCTCCCCGGAGCTATCCCAGGCTGATATGCTAATGTCAGACTTTGGCATCAGTCATGTGTATGGAGTTCTTAGGCCTACCGGGGACCACGGCCAGAACCGGGCCCCCTCAGAGAGGCAAGGGGAGCAATGGCCTATAGAAGCCCCCGTGGGGTTGGAAGCATTCTATGTCTGCCATCGACCGGAACAGGTACCCAGAAAGGTAAGCGCCTCAAAACAAACCCCTATTCTGGTTAAAGTTGCTACCAAAAGCCGAACTAGTAGATAGAACTCCCCAACCGAAAACAAGCAAACTGGTGTGACGTCACACACCGCCGCGCCACTGTCTGCGCAGCTCCCCCCTCCCCGGGAGGGGGAAGGGGGAGCCCCAGACCCCCACGCCGGCTACCTACACCTCAGTTCTTGAGGCTGGATGTCAAAAACGCAAAAAATCGCCGACCGGAGGGAGGGAGGGATACCGGGGAGCCTCCGGGACTCACCCAGAAAATGGAGTTTCATTACATTCAATGCTGGTTTTCTGGGGGGAGCCCCGTCGGCTCCCCGGAGCTAACTACCCACAGACGGAAAAAGAGGGACTTGCCCGGGAGGCGGTCATCGCTCACTCAACTCGAAGCCAAGACAACTGGCTGCAACCGCCGACCCAAAGCAACACAGGCCCGACGGGGCCCAGCGACATTCACAAGGTAACGAGCAGCCAGGACCCTGTTCAACCGCCAAAATCCCCGCGCCCAAATATCAGACCAAGACATATTCCCAAAGACGGCAGCAAGAGCCGCGAACTTACGAACGTCATGGCACGGGGATAGACCGCAGGCTGGCTGGACTTAATAATCCAGCGGACGACCTGGGAGACCCGAACCCGCGAACAGGGAAGAAGGGAAACCGGATCAACCCACAGCACGTCCCCGGACACAGAAGCCGTGGCACGCAAATAACGGCGAAGCGCCGCAACCGGACACAAAACATGATGCACCCCCGGCCTGACCAACCAAGCATCAACCACCCATGGACCCCTCCGGAACGCAGCAGTCTCATTCTTCACCAGAAAAGAAGGAGACAGCTGCAAACGAACAAAACTATCACCACTCGCAAAGCACAGTGCAGTAGCGACACCGGAGCCAGAGCACACGACCATCGCCTATAGCATCAGCCTCAAGAACTGAGGTGTGGGTAGCCGGCATGGGGCTCTGGGGCTCCCCCTTCCCCCTCCCGGGGAGGGGGGAGCTGCGCAGACAGTGGCGCGGCGGTGTGTGACGTCACACTAGTTTGCTTGTTTTCGGTTGGGGAGTTCTATCTACTAGTTCGGCTTTTGGTAGCAATTTTAACCAGAATAGGGGTTTGTTTTGAGGCGCTCACCTTTCTGGGTGCCTGTTCCGGTCGATGGCAGACATAGAATGCTTCCAACCACACGGGGGTTTCTATAGGCAATTGCTCCCCTTGCCTCTCTGAGGGGGCCCGGTTCTAGCTGTGGTCCCCGGTAGGCCTAAGAACTCCATACACATGACTGATGCCAAAGTCTGACATTAGCATATCAGCCTGGGATAGCTCCGGGGAGCCGATGGGGCTCCCCCCAGAAAAGAACATGTCCAGAGGCCGAGAAAGAAGGAAAGGGAATGCAGGCGGCAGTGAGGAGGTGAAGGCAGGAAACGCAGAACTGCAGGAGCTCAAGAAGCTCAGAAATGTGTACCCCAGAAGGACAGGGTAGAGGCTGGCCTGAAGAGCTGAAACACAACCCCAGCAAGCACAACAAGAGGAGTACAACAAGACGAGTACAAACTCACCAAAACAACCGACAACACCTCAGCAGTGATGTGGAACACACACTAATCCATGTACCTCCCCACCTCTTGCATAGCAGATATAACCCACACCAGGAATATGTCACAAAAAAATTGAAAGACAAGTTATCTTAAAGTTATCTTAAATTGATTTAGGGGCTTTAGTGTCCCTGCAGCCCGGTCCTCGACCAGGCCTCCACCCCCAGGAAGCAGCCCGTGACAGCTAACTAACTCCCAGGTACTTATTTACTGGTACCTGGGAGTACCAGTAAAACATAACTTGCATGGTGGTGTTTATGTCAGGGGTGGTGGTGCCAGTACAAGCAGCACGGGTGAATTTGCGAGGGAGGACTGTGATAATTTTGTACCACACGAACCACCGACTTTTTGGTGTTGCACCGACTTTCCTATGTGCATGTGAAGATATGAGTGCTACCAGGACAGATATGAGATATGAGATTCCAGGACAGAATTTTGTCATTGATCTTTTCCTAGATCTTTTAAAGACTATAACACATTGATAACGTACATTTAGCCACAATAACGTACTTTAGCTACATTATTGTGACTCATCGCCTGCACATTGATCTTTTCCTATATCTTTTCAATCCCACCTTACACATTGATGTTTTCCTATATCTTCTCAAGATTACCTTACACTTTACAAGCTTGGCTACATAATATCTACAGGAACTAAGGCCAAGGGTGTACGTGAGTGTGTTGTTTGCAAACACACAGAACGAAGAAATGGGAACCTAAAATCTGTGTGTACCTGGTGCATCGAGTGCAAAGTCACGCTGCGTACCCTGCACCGCTTTCTTTATCACTCATATCCAAAGTATTGAGTGTGTAATACAGCGTATGATTGTGTAAATGGTGTGTGAGTGTAGTGTAAATAAATTGAATATTGAAAAAGTAATATTGCAACAATAAAAACTTTTGTGGACACATTAGTGACATGTATTACAGTTCCTTGAAACATTAGGAACGTTCTACTGTGTACATATTGTAAAGGACACAAATGTGCAACAGATACGATTAAAAAAAAAAAGTAAATAGGAAGCATTGAAAATGAATTGAAAAAATTAATAAAAATATATTTGGGCAACTTGTGAGGCTGGAATCACCCGCACGACCGCCTCTGGGAGCTTCCTGCACATGCGAACACGTATCGGTGAAGTCACATTGCATCTTCACGGGGTCGCCACAGCCAAAGTAAGTTGTTTTTTTATATTTATTTTTTTCATGTACATGTTCCGGGAAGGGATTTTAACACTTAACAAAGAAATTTTTTGGATGGGAACACTATTTTCCGTGCACCATCAGAATGTCACAATAAACGTGGCGCAGCATGGAGGGTTAAAAAGGGGGATGCAGTATATGCAAGGAATTTTGGAATGGATAAGCCTTGGGTACAAGGAAAAATTATGGAAGTTATGAATTATGAAAAAAATTATGAATTTCACCGTGCAAGTGCAGAGTTTTGTGAATATTAATTGGAAAAGACATGCAGATCAACTCATGCAAAGGTTCATGGGGAATTGTGAAGACCCTTCAGGTGGGGATGGGGCAAGTGATACCCAACCTAATAATGAAGGGGTAGCACCTGCAGGTGACAGGGAGGCAGAGCAAGGGTCAACAGAGGGAAATGTAGATACAGCTAACCCTATGGACTCTGCAGTTAGTAATTCAGAAGAAGGTTCCCCAGAGGTAACAGGCCTGGACCCCCAGTTGAGAAAATCAGGAAGAGTCATACGACTGCCTGATAGACTTAACCTGTAGGGGTAGAGTTTAAGTAAAAGGGGAGGCATGTTAGGTTTAAGGTATTTTGTAGGATTAAATACTACATAGGTTAGGTGCATAATGTTTCAAGCAGATGCTCTTTTGTTTTATAAGCATTGTAAATAGTAAGTCATGTAACCTATACCCGTTACGTCATTCTGTTGAATTATAACTATTCATATTCATAATTTAGCGAGAGGAATCTGATAATAGTGAAATATGTAGTATACTTCTGGGTATTTTGCTTCATAAGATGAAGTCGTCTGCTTGAGTCAGCTGGTTGTAGGGTGTAGCTTTATACTGTGCTAAGATTTCATTAACCCACATACCAGAATTACAGTGCTTCATTATGGTTTATAAAATATATAGATAGATGTACATAATATGTATATACAGTGTAATAACAGAAAAACACTTCCACAAAGAAATCTCAATGGAGTGATACATATCACCGAGAAAATCAGCTGGAGCTCTCGGGTGACTCAAACCCCCGACCATCAGACGGTCTGCTGGTCGTGGGTTCCAGTCAGCTTAGAGCTCCAGTTGATTTTCTCATGGAAATATATACATCACATTGGGGCGTATGGTGTTACCCAACTGGATTCCTGGGGGGGTTATACGTAAAGATGGAATGGTTTCAGGAGAGGCCTCCACACTTCCTGTCAATTCAGTAGAATCCCAGATTGTATAAATTATACCAGGTCAGGGTAGTACAGTGGTGAAGGTTGTGGCTGGTAGTGCATTGCTTATGGTTTGAGTCACCTAAGAGCTCCAGTTGATTTTCTCAGTAAAAAGACTTATTGATCTAAGAATATAATGTGTGTTACTAGATATGAGCTCCATGTTTATGAGCATAGCAATATTCCACACATTTAAGTACAGAAATTCCTTAAATTACATACTATTGAATAAAATTACTGCAACATACTGGATAAAAAATCTTTTGAAGTCATTGAAATATTTATGTAAAAATATATCTGCAGCAGCCCCTTGCCACACTAAGCTGCCCATGGGTGCTGACATTGGATTGTGGTTAGATTATAAACACTCAACAGAACAGCTTGACTGACAATATTAATATTAACCCATGACCAGTGCTAATTATATATATACGATTTTGGTCTACCTGCACAGGGCACATTGTATAGATTGTATACTTTTTAAAGGACTGCATAAAATTTAAAAGTCCCACGGCTAGAAGTTCAACTCAGCTTCCTGATGGCTCAAGTAAACAGACACCATTTAAAAAGAAAAATTGTGCGTACCATTCATGGGAATAAAGGTCTCGGTTTGATATTTATACTGTATATAACGTGTATAGTGTAATAACACCACAAATAGTACACTGGGAGAAGCCATTTTGGCGAGTGAGGTGGCATCATCAGCTGGCTGGTTTGTGAGTTGTCATACAGTGTATTGTGGCCACTATACTATTTGGACACCATACCAGCTTAATGGTACAGTTATGGTGAACAAAACATGTAGATATATATAATGTGTGTATAAAGTGTAATAACAGCAAAAACAGCATGCTGGGAGAAGGAATCTTGGCAGTGAGTTGGCGTCGTCAGCTGTGTGTGGCAGCCGATATTATTATTTCGACTTACCATACCAGCTTAGTGGTTTGTTATGGTGAACAAAACATGCGGATACTTATACTGTATATGAGATGTGTATATAGTGCAATGACAGCAAAAATATTCTTTTGTTGTTTTATTAACATAATAATTGAATCACTGATATGTACACCATACTTTTGAGTATAACGATGGTTCACACATTTTATTATATTATTATTGCAACATACATTATATTGAATAATATAACTGCAAAAAAAAAAAAAAAAGAGATAAAAAAATCAGACATTGAAATAATTAGGTAATATCATCTTTGTGGCAACTCCCACCTGATGGCTCAGCTGGAGGAGACCAGCCCCAGACGTGTACTCTCTCAGTGCCAGTATCTTGCCACACATCCTCGCCTTAATGCTGCCAAAATGTGTCGCCTACAATTTTGTTTTGTTATTTTTTCCGTGATCAGGGGAACAATTTAACAATCAGAGAACATTTTAACAATCTTAAAATGAATAAAATGTTGATTTTTTTTCTTGCACACAGCAGTGTGGTCGACTATTAATACCTGCGCCACCCAGGGGTTAAAGCAAATCCACTTTGATTTATTTGGCTACCCTTGCCAATAAACGCACAGGACTTAACTTGTCACCATCCACAACTCGTCCTGGTAGTCAATGTTCCTAACTCTGAATCATCACTGCAACACTCCACACCTGGTTAGTTTCCTACACTGCACTCGCACACTACAGACCTGATTTGTCACCAGAATCACATTGGGTCCCCACATTTGCTTGGCTGGTTATCATTGCTGTTGCTGGTGGAGGAGGATGCCTTGACAGGACTGCGGTTTCCACAAGACTATGTATCTGCTGGTCACAGCTTTCACCATCACACCCAGCATTACCAAGGATGTCATAATCAGATTAAATTGAAATCTTTCATGACCAAACCACAGATAAGAAAACGAAGAAACGACAACGTTTCAGTCCGTCCTGAATAATTATCAAGTTGAGTGATAGAAGCGAGGAAAGAACAGGCAAATAAATATGGTAAGAGTGAGATGAGAGGTGAGAATTAGGTAAGAGACAAGGTAAGAATAAGAAAAGGGGTAAGAAAAGGAGAAATGGGCAACCTCTTTTTCCTACCTCTTCTTCTCTCTCGTCACATAACTTGATAATGGTCCAGGATGAACCGAAACGTCATCATTTCTTCGTTTTCTGGTGTGGCTTAGTCGTTATATCTTCAGCAACGTTATTGTGATTCATAGTCAGAAATCTCGTGGCTTCGAAGAACTTTGGATCACACGTCACCATGTCGCCCTTTGTGACCTCTTAGCAGCATCATTAGATTGAGCAGGCTAAAACTGTTTTGTTCTTTTGCACCTCGCCTCAATGTGTGACCGTTAACTACTCAAATGTACCAACACTCCTTTCAACCATCAGTTGTTAAATGATGTAGTGTTTGATTCACTAGCTAATGCTTACTCCTAACTTGTGGATTACAACACGGAACCCTGGCCCATAGTCAGTGACACACAAAGCTAGGGCATATGCAATGTGGGTGATAAAACACAATCATGAAGGGGACAAGAAAGAATAACAAAGTAATGGCCCTCAACAAAACTAATATTCCAGGGGTAGCCATCACCTCGTAGATTTAGCACGAAGTTGAGGATGGGCAAAATCAGAAAGCTTGTGCTTCTCAAGCTTCGATCAAGCAAGTGACAGGATTGGCTGATGGAGACACCTGGTAACCTGGGCTGCCATTTGATCCCAGCCAGGTGCATCAGAGTTTTGGTGTTTATATTGCTTCAATGTAAACATGTTTTGATGCCCTTATACTTTTTTATTTTTTGACTGATCTCTGATCCCCAGATTCATCTTGCCTTGCAGAGAGAACCAGCCTCTGTTCCTGACTTCCAGTAGGCTCTAGTGAGTCTCAGAGGTCTGGTACATTTCCATAAGGATTAGCTAGACCAGTGCTTAGCTAATGTAACTATTCAGGAGGCCCTTCCAGAAATAAATTCTTCAAATACCTACTCCAACCCCTTAAAATGCGGCAATAACAAATTTTAAAATACAGTGGAACCTCGGTTGACGAATGCCCCTCTTTACGAATTTTTCGGTTTAAGCGCTCAATGTCTTCGTAAAATTTCATTCTGTATTCAAGGTTTGCCTCAGTTCTCGAGTTTGTTGATACACACATGGGTAGGCGCAGGCTCAGTTTACCAGTGTTTCCTGCCTAGTGATGACTGCGTTTGAATTTTTTGTGAAGAATTCCACTGTTTTAGTGCATTTTTGGTTTCTGAACATAAAAGACCTCATTATATATGCCATAGATTTCTGAAAGCGTTTCAGAGGCTATCATTTGTGCAAAAGCAAGGCTATTCCATGAAGATCTTTTAAAGAAAACCCCTGAAATGAGTGATGCAGATATGAAAACATTTTAGGCAAGAAAGGGGATGGTTTGAGAAATTTAGAAAAAGAATTGGTGTTCATAGTGTGAGGCATGGAGAAAAACAAGTATCTGTAGTCAGATTCTAAGTAAGACAAGCAAGCAGTGAGCCGCAAGCAGTGAGCCACAAGCAGTGAGCCAGAACAAAGTTCTAGTGGTATGCCTGCAAAATGTAAGAGAGAGTACCCCAGAAATGTCATCACTGCCTGATGTTATAATGGAAGGGGACTCCCCTTCCAAGCACAAACAATGCTCCTCTTCACAGTCTTCCTACACCAGCAAGAGTCCTCAATAAAGTTAAGATATACAGTAGTACAAAATATGAGTAGTATTCTGTATAAAATGTCTTTTAAGTTATATTTTTGGGGTGTGGAATGGATTAATTCAATTTACATTATTTCTTATGGGAAAATTTGTTTCAGGTTTCAAATTTTCGGTTGACAAACCATCTCTGGGAACGGATTAAATTTGTAAATGATGATACAGTACCACTGTACAGTATATTCTTTCCTAATAGAATGCTTAATTTGGATCCAAAATGTACAGAAATGTGGAAAAAAAAATGATCTATATTGTAGCCAGTTTTGTGCACTGAACAAGCTAACAGTATGGCAGTGTGTGGTGAAACAGCATAAACTACAACATAAACTCTCAATGCCAGAGTTTTCTGTCAGCAAAATACATTGCCAGAGCCAGACAAACTCGGTATTAACCTTGGATGTCTAGACAATCTTATGTTAGTATATTTTGATAGCAGTCTTTCTTGTAAACATATGTTGTTGAATATGACCGAAAAGGTAAGATTAATAATTCTAACATGAATTTTCTCAATATTTCTTATGTTTTTCTTCACTGTCGGTGGTAATGGAAATATCAATTCTCCAAAATTCATTTTTATTAATGGTCTGACGCCTAGAAGCGTTTCGTATGGGCTTCTTACATTCTCAAAGACTTCTTTACACTTAA